TCAATAAGATCCGTAAGCCCTTAATCAGTTCCAACTGGAAAGCCATTATTGCAACAAACTCTGGGCTCCTTCTACGGAGACAATATGCCAGCCCGAACTATTACTAATAAGGAGTGACTACAGGCAAACATGAACGAAGCAAATTATTTTTCCATTTGCCTTTAGAAAGAGCACCATAGAAATGAGCGTATTTCATTGATCAGATCATCACAAACGCAATACATGTACATTAGCAAGAGAATAATGCTAAGCTAAAGTGATTCACAGCTTCAACGCTGATTTTAAAGCTTCATATTTTATCAGCAATATGATAATCTTTAAGAAAAAACCTTATTGTTATTTGTAAAGAGTAAAGCGCGCATATTATCATTGCTAAAGAACGATACAGGAACGTTGGTAGAGTATGAAGTTGAGTCGAAATGTTGTACGTTGGTTGCATCCAAGGATAAATTTTGCATTGAAACCTGCCATTAATTAGATATTGACTTCGAATCTGTACCTACTGTAGATACCACACATAAATGTAGTCAAACGTAAATACCCAAAGGCATGAGCAAACTTGAAACGTAACATATCTTTCGAAAGATATTTTGTCAGCTTGAGACGTAGTTCAATAAGTAATATTTAGAACATTCCATAGCATACTTCTTTTCGAATCGTTATTTTAACTTACTACGCTTTCCTGATGGAAAAAAAAACACCAAAGTGGAGACGTCAACACCGTTAACTTATTTCGAAGCACTTGCGTATTTGAGATTACCTACTATGCAATCGCACAGCACGACACCAGTCTCAAGTGAAGTGAGAGAGAGCATGCTATTTTTTATTAACTTATATGTCAACCCATTCAGTGAATTCGGAGGGATGACAGCGTTTCTTTGTCGACCCTCAAAAGATCAAAGATTTTTTGAATTATTTCAGCAGAATAATTCTAGTCCATTAATCACATTAATCATATAAAGCAGACGGAACCACAAATCGATGATCGTAGAAAAAGAATGGGTTGATGAAAAATATGTTTGTTGATGTTTCAAATAGCAAAACTGAAATAAGGAATTGAATTTTCAAAAAAAAAATGTTGATGACAGTATCAATCGACAAGTTTGTCTATTGACAAAATCATTGGTCTTAGTATTCGCTTACCACCACGTTTCTAGGAACAAATTTATTTACCTCATCTAGCAATTCCTCAACTTCCAACGAATTTCCGCTAGGATCCATCATCTACAATGAGTTATTACGCCTTAATGTGCATTAGTGCTTTTGAATACGATAAATCAAACCGTTTGCATGATTCCTTTAAGAACATCTGCGTAGTTGCCAAGTTTCTGTTTCAAAGAAGTCTTATCTTTCTTGATGCTCTTTTGCGATGCTGAAGCAGATGTTGATGGAGTAGTAACCTCACCAGGTTCGGCACTTGAGGATGAAGACGTTATGAGATGTTCAAGCGAATCTTCTGAAAAGACAAAAAGATTTCGGTTCTGCATCTAAACTTACATCAATGAATGAAGGCAGCACACACCGGTACCAAACACCTCACGAAGCTTCTCGAACAGGCTTCTTTCCGATGTGT